TGATTCAAGAAAAATAAAAATAAAAATCAAATAAAAAATAAAAATAAAATAAAGTATACGCACCCAAGAGAATCCAGTCCAGGTGTTCTCAAAGGTCTGCTAAGTTCTCTTGAAGTTTTAATCTGTTTCTCAACTTCTTCAACTGATGATTTTAACGCCGTTCTATAAAAAAAGAATTTGAAATACAATAACACCATTGAGAAATTGATAATTATGGCATTGATAGGGGATGGTGGAGGTAGAGTGCGTCGTTATACGGAAAAAATCAATCTTCCTCCAAGATGGGTCAAGAATGTTGGGTATATTTTCAATATTTATTACGAAAATTGATAAAATGATTTTAGGGTTCTGTGGTTAATTCGTAAAAATGAAACCCTAACAATTAGGTGTTGTTCATGGGCCTGTTCCTATATGTCACACCTTCGTATTTTGTATAGTTTTTAAGTTTTTATTGAGTAACATTGTTCCCAAATCAAAAAGCTCTGAATTGTTCCAATATCCCAACGTTTCGTTCACTGTTTATGAGATTTATCAGGGTAATTGCTAATTCATTGATAGAATATGTTACATATTTGTATAATGTCCATTTTTAGACCCATTTAAGTTTGTTATTGATTACTTTTGTCTTTTCCAAATCAATTTTTCAAAGCTTTGAACTGTTCCAATATCCCAATGTTTCGCTCAAGTTTTATGAAATTTATCAGGGTAATTGCTAATACAACACATACTTATGTTTTGTACATTTTTATGCCCATTTAAGTTTGTTATTGATTACCATTGTTACCCAAATGAATTTTATAGATACAAAAAGCTCTGGACTGTTCCAATATCTCCATATTTGGCTTACCATTTATGAACTTTACCAAGGTAATTGCTAAGTCGCTGATAAAAAAGTAAACTCAACAGCATTGCATATTAACAATAAATATATAAATTAAAAACGTACACTATTTCTACAGACTTTGAATGCAATTAAAAATAACGGGAACGAAAGGACTCATTAAATGTTACCAAAATATTTAAAAATGCATAAGTATATAGAAATTATAATATTTCACAAGAATTACATTTTAAAAAGATAAAATGGTTTTATTCTTGTAACACGTAAGAACGTTACCTGGATGAGGCATCAGTGCTTCTTTTCCCTTTACCAAATGGCCCTCCTGGTAGCAAACTGTCACAGCAATTATTGACTATTCGTCTACTTTTTGACTGAGGTTTCCGTTGGTTTCTAAATAAATTAACAAATTAACTCATCATTATAAGGTCTGGACACCACACTTCTTTATATCTTAACCCAATCTTCGTTATCTACGTAATTAGCTCAAACTCTACCTCTTTTAACTCCTGTTTCTGCTTCGAATATGTCTCTAACTAGCCCTTTACGTTTCTTCTATCAACCTATTTCTTATTGATATCCATTTTCCTACTCTTTCTAATAACTCCTCATTTCTATCTTATACTGAGTGTTACTTGTAATTAAACCCATATAAAGTGAGATATGTACCAAGTGTTTAATAAATTTTGTTTCGTTATAATTACTTTCATTTTATTTATAGCTAATTCTAACTCCTCCTGCTATGTCATATACAAATATAAGCATGCTTATCTTTTGTCCCTATATGGCTAACCCTAAATATGTCCTGTCGTATTCACAAATTAAAAAGTAAGGATGACAATGTATGTACCTGCATACTTCCTTCCTAATATTTGTTCCTACTTTTTTAAGTAATTACGTGCTTCAGACTGATAGTTTTGTGATGATGATAAAAAATTGAAAATAACTCCTTAATTACCCACTTTTAGGGTCAAATAATGTTTTTTTTATTCGTACTTGTGGGTGTTCAGGTTTCAAAAGTTACCTTTATTACCTATTGTGAGTATTTAGCAGTTTTATATCCACAAAAACGTGCAAAATTGTTTCAGAACTTGAAGTAATTATATCGTAAATTTTCCCTTTTTCTGCTTTATTATCACCGTGCGATTCCATGTATTTCTAACTTTTTTTATAGCACATGTAAAAAAAATTAACTGAGCTATCTGTTGTTGCTGCTACAAAAATTATTTTCTAACGACGTTTTTAAAAGGCTATCTATTTGAAGAAGAACGTTGTAATAGGTATTTTTTACTTTTATTTTAGGTTCTAGAGGAGTAGGTTTGTTATTCTTAAAAAAGGTTTTGAAAATCTAACTCTAAAAGTGATTTTTTTACACTTATTTGGACAAAATATTTACGTATACACATATAATAATTTATTTATACAATACCTTATTAGTTCAAGTCTCTTGGCCATACCAAAGGACTCTCCTGTTAAACTATCAATCGTCCTAATGTGCCTTCCGTCGAAAAATATATCTAAAACATTATTGAAAAAGGCAAAAATTCTCGTAACATGCCTTACTTGCAGAAAGTGTTTTTTGGTAGGTATACAAAAATAATGACCAAAATTGCGGAAAAGAATATTTATTTATTTAACTTCCTGGTGATAAAAACAATTACAGAATAATTTTCAAAACAGAAAAGAAAAGGCAGGTTTATTTTTTCTTGATAACTTTAGAATTTCCATTATTGACAATGTGGTTTGAGCTTCTTCCCAATAAACCAGAACCTCCAATACTGTCTAAACTTTTCCCTACTAATGTGCCCCCTCCAATACTATCTAAACCTCTTCCTAGTAAACTACCCCCTCCAATGCTGTCCAAGCTTCTTCCCAACAAACTTCCTCCTCCAATACTGTCTAAACTTCTTCCCAACAAACTTCCTCCTCCAATGCTATCTAAACTTCTTCCTAACAAACTTCCTCCTCCAATGCTATCTAAACTTCTTCCCAACAAACTTCCTCCTCCAATACTGTCTAAACTTCTTCCCAACAAACTACCCCCTCCAATGCTATCCAAGCTTCTTCCTAGCAAACTACCCCCTCCAATGCTGTCTAAACTTCTTCCCAGCAGGCTACCCCCTCCAATGCTGTCCAAACTCCTTCCAAGCAAGCTGCTTCCTCCAATACTATCCAGGCTTCTTTCCTTAATACCTCCACCCCTTATGAAATCCAAAAATTCTTCATGATTTTTTATTTTCTCTAGAAAAGATCGTCAACATTTGAATCGATGATTCTTACACTTAATTATTTTTAAAGGGTGAGATGTATAAGCAACAAAGACTACTACAACAAAATCAATACAAATCAATCATATAAAAACAAAATATTTAAAGCAGTTAGAGTCACTGAGCATTGAAACTAATCTGCAAGTTGTTTCATTTATTGTCCATTTTAAAAGTTTGAATTCACCAAAATGGAAAGCTCTTTGCATTAGGAGGACTATTATCTTTCTCTTATTATTTTCCTGTAATATTTCGACTGGTAACAATCTTCGCCAGTAATTAAGTGAGAACTGTGACCTCCATGGATAAAAGGGTTCGAATTAAACAAGAACAGTTTAATTCAAGCAGACATGAACCAAATGAGCTGTTTTTATTTAAAGTAATTTAAAGTAATTCTCTTCGCATAAATTTATTAGATGTAACGTTTGGTAATATTTTACCAAAAGAAAATTTAGATGTTAAAGCTTCACAGTTGTGTGCTCATTCTAACTAAATGTGAATATAGGTTTGTTTGTTTATTTGTTACAATTTCACGCCTTAAATACTCAAGTGACTATCATGAAATTTTTTACACATATTTTCAGGGGTACAGGAAAGGACATAGGGTACCTTTTATCCAGAAAAAAAATACTGTTTCCAAGGGATAAAAAAATTAGTTTTATGTAGTCGTCAATGATCTTTAAGACGTATTTAGGACTTTAACTTGAGAGAAGCAGCAGGTAAAACCTATCATGAAATTTTCTACACATATTATTAAGGGTACAAAAAAGCACATATAGTAGGTACCGATTATCCAGGAAAAAATACTGTTCCCGAAGGACAGAAAAATTAGTTTTATGTAATCGTAGATGATCTTTGATATGTATTTAGGACATCAATGCGAGCGAAGCCGCGGGTAAAACCTATCATGAAATTTTGTATACACATTGTTAGGGGTACTTTTATCCAGGAAAAAATACTGTTCCCGAAGGACAGAAAAATTAGTTTTATGTAATCGTCGATGACCTCAGACACGTTTTTAGGACATCTAGACAAATCTAGTTGTTTAAGCACATACATAAAGCATTAAAATAAAATATACATCTATATTATATACAAAAATATTTATATACAAAAATATTTACATACCTTTTTCGCACACACAATGTTTTTATTGCACTTAAACTTTACAAAAAACCAGCGATTTACAAAGCGTCTCTATAAGACAAGAATAGTGTAAAAGTATTAACATTATTGTGTATGTACAATGATAAATCGCAAACAAAACCCGACTGAGACTATTTTCTGATGGAAGAAATACGCGTTATAAAATGTAGCTAAGATTTGTAAGACTGTATTTAATTAAAGCTGCTTTTTGTTTGCGAAATATACAAAAAAGCACATTTTTTTGCAAAACGTTGTGATTTTTTGTAATATAAGAAGTAGAAAACAAAAGAAAAGTAAAATTACTTCTCATTTTTAATTCTGTTTTCGGCATACAACTAACTCACCACTATTTTCAGGCCATTGGTAGTTTAACTCCTGCAAAAAAATAATAAATTAATGTAACTGTTTTGAAATAAATTGTTATTAATAAGAAGAATTAACGATACATTTCTATTTCTAATAATACAGTTACATTTCATACGTTTTTTATGTGTAATTTGACATAGTCGCAAGGAGTTTAGGACTGTATATTGTTATAAAGGAAGGGAGGACGCAAGAAAGGGGTCCACTGTTTTTCGACATTTTCATCCCTCCCCTCCCTTGGGGTCGCACAAAGTTACATTTTCATTACCCCCCTTTATAAAGACGTCACAAATTGCAAACACTCCCTAATTTAAAAAAAAGGTATTGAAGCAAATAAAATTATTTAACAGGAAATAACTTTGTTTCATATTCAATTTTTTAATTAATATTGAAATATACATTTATTTTAACAATCAGTACATATGAAAATTAAATAAAAACATTTATTATATCGGAATATTTAAAATTTATTATGTTTTTGTAATATAATATAGCGATATTTGCTGATACAATTTTTTTAATACATAGTTATTTGAGGACGTCCAAAAGTCCTAGCCCCCCCTCCCCCCATACGGGTGTACGTCCTTTAAGGACGATCCCAAAGTACTATTTCAATTATTTATGGACCAATGGTTCATGTGTTTTGTTGCCATTAATACCAACAACAGACAGGAGTCTCATAATTAATTAATTATCAGTTCAATTGTCTATGAGAGTTGTTGGCCTTTCTCTATCATCGCATCACTTTTTCGTTAAAATATCACGTTTCGCCTCTGCCTGCAAAGCTACCTGTTTCAATTAAACTAAAGTCAATACTATCGGGAAAAGAACAAGGAAGGAAAAATGGTTTCACTTTAATTAGGATGTCGAACTCAAGTTTAGGTAAATGTTCAACAGGTGAAATGAGTTCGAGCGATCGAGACTGTTTACTCAAAGCCTTTTTGATTTCTTTGGCCCGCACCCCGTCTCCCTATTACATCTGATCAAATAGAACAACGAAATTGTGCTAGAAATAATCTATTAAGTTGTGGCACAACAGACGTCAGTATTTAGATGTTTATTGCATCATGCACTACAAGGTGGATCAATTTAGAAGTCCTTTGTATTGAAGATGTTAAAAATTGGTACAAAACTTTTATCACGATTTAGATTCAGTAATGTTCTGTATGAAAATAAATAAAAGTAAAACTAAAATACTGGTACGCAAGGGAAGAAAATGTACGGAAAAAGCGAACATAAAGATAGGAGACGAAAGTGGCTGATTTTAGATACCTAGGAAGTCAGATAAGTCAGGTTGGAAGGAGTAGTAGGGATATAAAGCAGAGGATAGCGCAGGGTCGTGTCGCCTTTAAAAAAGAGAAGTCACTTCTATGCCCGCGAACGGTTAATTTAGAAATTCGAAATAGGTTGTTAAAGGTGTATGTTTGGAGCACGGCGTTGTACGGGTGCGAAACATGGACAGTGGGAGCGGCGGAAAAGAAAAGGTTAGAAGCGTTCGAAATGTGGTGTTATAGGCGGATGATGACGATATCGTGGGTAGAAAAGGTTAGAAATGAAGAGGTATTGGAATGAACAGGAGAACAGAGGACTCTATGGAAGTCAATAAAAAATAGGCGAGATAGGTTGGTAGGACACCTTCTCAGGCATGAAGGTCTAGTCAGAGACATATTAGAGGCATAAACGGGAGTTAGGAGGGGTAGAGGTAGACCTAGATTAGATTACTGTTCGCAAATAGTTAAGGATGTGGGCTGTTCTAGTTTTAGGGAAATGCGAAGTTTAGCTCAGGATAGGAAAGAGTGGAGGTACGTGTCCTACCAGTCTTAGGACTGACGACCTTATGATGATGAATGTTCTGTTCAAAGTGCGGTCTTCAGTAATCTTCAGTGAATAAGAAAAAAACATGAAGGGCTAGTTAATGTTGTATTAGAAGCAGAAGCAGGAGTTAAGGGGGGGCACCCAAATTAGATTACTGTTTAGGAATAGCGAAAGACGCACGTAGGTTGTTGTGGGTACTTAAGAAATGCGATGATTGGCTCAAGATAGAAAGAAGTGCATGGAGTTTCTTTATCTTTTTTATGTATATATATCGTCCTAATTTATGTAAGTAGTCCATTATAAATTCTAAATGCGAATTGACGCCTCCTTGACTGTCATTTTTCCGTAAAATTTAGACCTCACAAAAAGCAAATTCGTTTATGTATACGCTGTAATTTGCATTCTTAACAGTTCTGACAAAGAGAAAAAACAATCAGACTTGTAAGAGGCCTCAAAATTTCCGCGTAAAAAATTCTTTAATCTAACAATATGTAAAAATTGAATTACGTTTAAATTTAAAGGAGACTGATAAAAATTTTGAAGATTTTGAAGTAAAAATAAAAGAAGAATGTTGTAAACAACAATTAGTGTAATTATATTGATAAAAAATCAGTTTATTTCTGGGAACAGCACATTGTTCGTTCATTCATTAGTTTTCGTACATAATCATTCCGTACATTTCACAGTTAATACTCACTCAAACAACAGTATGCCAAGATTAAGGGGCTTACTGCAATTTAATTGGATTTAATTTTTAATTTAAGAAGCACGATGCTTTTCTGTTTAAAGTAATCTTAATATCAAGTAAAAATTTCATAGCTGCACGGTTGTTATAAAGGAATAAGGGTGGAGATTAAATTTTTTTCAAACAAAACAATCTTTTAGGTGGATCCTTCAATTAAGCATTTTACTGTCATAATTAAGAATTTACTACAAATTCTCTTTTGTAAACATTCTAAAGAATCAAGAACTCGAAGTATATTTACATAGACAGATATAATACGTACACAATTTTGAAAATTGTGTTGCAGGTATGTAACAAAAATTAAGAAATTCTAAACGATCAGTATATAAATTAATTAGCCGGTATATTAATTACGTATTGGTTGGGTTAGGGAGTTAGGTATTTAAACCACTTTTATATAAATACGGAAACAAAAGAACTGACCAGTAAAATACAACCCTTGGAGGATGCCTGAAGACAGAAGGGTGGAGATGAGTGTAATCAACAACATTTACTACTTTACTAACGCGACTGGCGACCGTAATCTTGTATTTATCTATCAATAAAAAATGTTTTTTTTTTCAGACAAATACCTAAGAAAATTTTCAAAAATATTAAGCTTAAAAATCAGATAAATATTATATACAAAGGAAATTATAAGTGCTGTCAGCACAGGGAAAAGTAGTATTACGTAGTTACTGTCAGCAATTTCTTATGCTGAAGTGTACAATGTGTTGCATACCTATTTACAAACAATTTCTTTAATTTTAATTTTCAAAACAATTTTTAACACAAAGAAAGTGATTAAACAAATTGTTCACAAAAGTGAATTTCGGCCACTCGAAGCAATGGTGTTAACAGTTTCGAGTTCACTAGTCCTTATAGTTATATTTTTCATCAATGAATACTTTCAATTGAAATTATTTTTAATGCTTCCAACTATAGAGAATGTCCTTATTCGTTCTTATTTAATTACTTTATTTAGATAATAAAGTACATACATACACAGTGGTTATATTCCAGTATACAATATAGGATTAATTATACTTGACCCTTACTACAATCTGTATAAATCGCCATTGCTATTATAGAAGACCTATAATTATGCATCAATGGATTGATTGGTCATTAATCAATAAATAATAATTATATCAGATCAGTTTTACCTATACTATTATGATTAATTATGATTGTATTATACATAACAATTATAATAATAATGATCTTTTTAATGTATTGGTGACAAAAAGTGTTAAAAATAGTAATTAAAATTTAAAATAAGAATCTTAAAAAATCAAACTAAACCCTTTTTGAGACTTCAGTGTTTATAAATACCGAAAAGTTGGTACAAAAACTCAATGTAATTTTAAAAATTATAAGGTATGTAATCGCTCAGGTAATCTACAAGTATTTTTACCAATATAATACATAATGTATGTATGTAACTCTTAGTTAATTCGTGTTTACTATATATTTTACATCGTCAATATCTGACGAAAGGATTTTCTTTGCATTTCCGATTAATCTCTTTGAACTTTTCCTCAAAGTTTTAATAACTATTTCGATTAGCAACTTAAGGGTAATGCTAGAATTTTAAAACATTTTTTTAATACCGTCTACTATAAAAAAATGCATACTAGATGCAAATACAATCTACATATATTCTAATACACTTTAAAACAGAAATAAATTGAAATCTTATTATTTATTGCTCGCGAGTTACTTTCATCATTGTTAAATTGTTAATCAACTGTAATGAAAAATAATTTTAACGTATTAACACTATTTTACTTTCTTTGTTCTTTTTAAAACTGTAATTTATTAATTTATACGTTTTTCATCTATTATTTACTGCTTTTTTTTTTAAATAAATTCAAAAATCAATTAAATTCGGCTACAAACAAAACATACTTGTTGAAATAATAATATGAATTCAAAAATATTGTGTAATAAAAAAAAAACGAAAATTGGAATTACTAATGAAAAGTTAATATTTGAATCGCTGACTAAATAAAATAATAATGTTACGTGAAAAACTGTTTTAAGTAAATGAAAGAACAATAATTAACTATAAAGAAAAATGTAATAAAATCAATCGTAGATATTTTTAACTTTTATCAATCCAGGTCTGGTTTTAGACATAAATTTCAAAGAAAATTGCCCTTGGGGCTGTTTATTTTTACTGTTTAATTTTCAATATTAATTCAATTAGCGATCCATTGTTTAATTTTCAGTATTATCTCAACTTTTTGAAGTTGAATTAACTTATGAAGAAAAGGGCTTTTATTTTACGTAAGAAGTCCGGCCTATACCCTTCCCCCCCGTCCCCCAATCCCTAAAACGACTTATACGTATAGTTTAAAATATGAATATAAGTAATTTTTACACAAAACTGTAAGTAAGTAGCAATTGCAACAATTTATAATAAACCAAAAATAAACAAGAAAATAGTAGGTATATCATATATATATTGATATTAATTGCCAACTTTTCAAATATTTTGTTTTTTAAATATTAATATATTCCGAATAGGTAATCATAATATTTTTAATAGAATAAATTTGATACTAGGTATGTAAGAATCTGTACCAATTAAAAATTTAAAACATTTGGCTTTAATTACGTATGTATGTAACAACAATTAGAAATATGTATATAAAAAGATGTACTTGCCGATGGGAAGCCGTGGGTTAAAGCGCAAAAAATTGCGAAAATGAAGATGACTGAAGTTCTGTTGTTGGGCAGCATTTTGGGGAACGATGAGCATGAACCAAACTTGTTGCGGTCCTCATCGTTCTCCCTTTTTATACCTTACCTGTTGAGCTTATCGTCGCATTACCCCGCAGGACTCACGGGATAGGTGGGATTAAAAAGCAGTTTTCGTCACACTCGTACGTACGAATAAATAACTGGGATCGCCTAAATAATTAGAATGACTCTTCACTAAGGTTAAACTGTTTTTTTTATTTGAGTTTTATTTTTTACTAGTGACCCGCCTCAGCTTCGCACGAGTGCAATGCTGCAATGCAATCTATATTAAATGCACAATGTATTTAAGGTACTTAATTGGATAAGAATTAATGCTGTATTGCCTACAATCGCTTCGTAAATAAGTCATTATTTCTCATAAAAAGTAAAGGATAAAAATGGTTATTGTGGGTTATCCCTAAGAGATAGACATATACCATCCCGGACTTATTTGTAGACCCTTTTAAGATGTACAATATTGTAGTACATTATTTTGATCTATCTCGTAGGGTTCAGCCAGCGTTTGCAATGTAAGCGCAAAAAATGTGTTTATTTACGACATCAC